TCTTCCTCTTGTGCCCGGATCCTCTCATCTTCCTACACATACAAGTAAGAAGGTTGGAAATAATGGGGAAAGTCTCACCTGTAATCTATGTAGCTGGGCGAGCTGGCCCTTTCTACTCATTTCTGTCTCTTTGCTGTGTGCAGTGCTGCTAGTGTATATCTTGTTATGTGGTAACCATTGGCAACTGAATAATTAATTAAATTTTAACGCCCACTCATAGGCAAAGTAAATTTTTGTATTATTATTTTTATTATAAAAAATATAAAAAAGGAATGTCTTTTTATGATGCTATGAGCTCTTTTATTTGAGCTACAAGTTGATTATCATCTTCACTCAAGCTTTCAGAAGACATTTCCCACCTCAGCAATACTCTCTTGTAGATACCTTGACTCAGCAGTAGCTCGGTCTTCAGTACAGCTATAAAAATAGCAAAATAATAATCATCATGCTACACATCTAATCCTTTGCAATAAAGGTAAAATAAAAGTTATTCTATACACTAGATTGCTTAATTTTATTACACAACAATACTTTTCTTTCTTAATGATATATCTTCTGTTTACTTGGTACTTACCTTCCCAGTTCATTTCTAATTCAAACAAATCAATAAATGGTCTACCATTTAAGTGTGTGCAGGATCTAACAACATCAAATTGAGACACAGAGGCATCAAGACACTCCCTCATTAGTCTCTCCTAAAATATAATAAATACTAAAAAATAAGAAACTTTATTTACTTTATTGTTTCTTATGTGTCCTTCTAAAGCTTCAAAGCTCTTTTTACCTACAGTGCATGAAAATGGTAACTTTTGTTAATAAGTTTGTTGATAAGATTTTTGCTACCTTGATCATCACTGGTAATAGCTTCAGCAGCAATGGAGGGCAGTCTTGAATCCATTAGATCACTAGTTGGCAATTGTGAACTAAGAAAATGAAAGTAATACAGTTTAAAATTAAATAGGGGGCACCTCTCTACCTCTTTGATATTAACAAGTGATGAAATTGCTGGAGTTTACTAGTAATTAATGAACGATCCAACTTTCTAATAAGTGATAAGGAAACATTTAAACCAGGCTGAGAAGCAGCTAATCGAAGGAGAATGAGGAGATAGAGGAAATATTTTAATATAAAGATTTTCAATGACTACTAACATTTTGGAGGAGAGGGAGGAAAGAATTGTTGAACTATCAAAAAGAAAACGTTGCAGTGAGATAAAATATGAACCAGTGACAGAGGAGGCGATAAATTTTGAGAGAACTGAATGAGACCATCAAACAATTGACCAAAGACTAACTGTGAACCATTAAACTAGAAAGAGAGAGAGAGAGAGAGGACATAATTATTATAAATATATAATAATAATAAGTTGTGCATAATACCTCTTTTAAAGTTGGTGTCCCCTTTTCTATTGCTAAAATAAAAAGAGACTATTTATAATGCTGAGTCTCATAATATTGCTTTAAAAATAATGCTGGGTCTCATAATATTGCTTTAAAAGTTATATATACTCACCACTTATTAATTGATTCAAAACTTGCAATACAACAGTATTGACATCTTAAT